TAACAGCATCAAATTGTTTATTATAATCGAAATAATCTAACGAACTCATTGGTACTCGTAAACGATTCATAAATGATTCGAGTAGACGTGTTTTAGGGTTATCTAAACTCGATATTGAACCAATTGCACCGTTCTCCAAACGAGAGCAAACTAAAAATAATATTCATGTAGCAAACTTAATATAACTAAATCAACTATACATACTTCGATGAAATCCAGTATAGATGTTGGAATCCTAAAAAGCTCATAGAGATACCAATGATGTTCAACGAAGAGAAAATAAAAGAAAATCGAACATATAACCGAATTGGCGTATTATTTACACAATTTCTAATAGGTAAAGGTTTTTTTTAAATATTAAAACAAAATACTTTACATACGCTGACGTTTTCGAATATACTTTGTATTCGATAATCCCTGGTCCATTTGTAACTGTTATTAACTGTATTACGAGAAGCAGATATTGGCTCCAAAAATGTATTACTGATATCACTTGCTGTTGAATAATCAACAAACCAACCTAGAAGTGCATTTCAACAACTACTATAGATTTCAAAATACAAGGCAGGTGGTTGCTTTTTTGAATAACTCCGTCACTCTGATAGATAGCGACCTGCGGTTTTTAATAATCGAAACTAGAGACTTAAAGCCAACTTTTCATAAGTAAAAACTACTTTTGTAGAGGTTCGGAAGACCGATTTTTCAGAGGATCTTTGAAAAGCCAGCTCCGTTCTCAAAAAACTAAAATACAATGTTAGTCTCTCTTTGCAGTCCGGACGTTACTTAACAAAATTATGCAAGCCCCAGCTCTCCAGCTATTGTCGTTTGGACAGGGCTCGCTTTCCGCGAGCACGTGTTTATCTCCGGGCAGACATCTCTATCAGTCTCAAAATGCCATGGAATTTAGGTAATCCACTACGCTGAGGATAGTAGCAACATTTGTCTTTCTGTAGGAACCAAAGTAACTTCGTCAGAGGCAATTTTTTGTAAAAAATCGTTTTTTCGCCTGTTACCAGCAAAAATTAAAATCCTTATATCTCGGTGAAAACTCATGCTGACTCAAGGAACCTGTTAGAAAAGAAAAAAGGCGCCATATATTGTTGATCAAGCCGTAAAAGTAAGCCAGCAGAACACCGAGGCTTTGAGGTTTTCCAGGAGGTTTTTGGAAAGTCTGAAACCAATGCCTAGCTGAAATTCACCCTTTTCGTCTTCGATTATGATTTATGCGCTGTTCTGAGTGTTTTCTGACAGGTTCTTTGAGTCAGCATGAGATTTAAGCGAGACATAAGGATTTTAATTTTTGTTAGTAACAGGCGAAAAAACGGTTTTTTTACAAAAGTGCCTCTGACGAAGTTACTTTGGTTCCTACAGAAAGACAAATGTTGCTACTATCCTCAGCGTAGTGGATTACCTAAATTCCATGGCATTTTGAGATTGGTAGAGAAGTCTGCTCGGAGATAGACACGTGCTCGCGGAAAGCGAGCCCTGTCCAAACGCCGATAACTGGAGAGCTGGGGCTTGCATAATTTTGTTAAGTAACGTCCGGACTGCAAAGAGAGACTAACATTGTATTTTAGTTTTCTGAGAACGGAGCTAGTTTAAATCACATAAAACATCTTACCAATAGGTATGTTAGCTTCAGCTGAAATCCGAATAAAGAAATGTTCGATTAATAAAATGGCATAAGTCGTCACTACAATAATGTGTGTCATTATCTTCTACAATATATTGTGAGATATTCGGATATTAATTATACTATTCTTCTTCCACACAGAATGATGTCGTACTTCAGAAAAAAAATTTCTGAATGATATCTTTACGTACACGCGTTTACTTTTTTTCCTATACGGTACCACTACTTGAAAAAAATGATAAAAGTCTTATTCTCTTTTCTCTTTTTTGTTTTTGTTCTTTCTCTCCATCGTCTTTCGGATAGACCAGCGTGAGTCTTAATGAGATTCGTCATATTTTTGTTGTTATTGTGTAAAAAGTCAATTTATTGTCTCATTCACATCGCAAAGAAAAATAAATTTATAAGAAGGAAACGACGTATATTGATCTGTTGTTGTGTCTACTTTCCCTCTACCCATGAAAACATATTCTTAATCATAACCTTTTTTCGCTTTTTTTCTTGACTAATAATAGAATCAATACGGAGAACAGCTTTTTCACATCAACAAATACCTCCTTTCACACACATCTATGCCATACCGTGATTAGAAGACATAGACGTGCAATATGAGGTTGTTCGCTAATTTTACTCTTAGGAATAATGAGACAATAATAAGCATGCTAAAAATGAACAGCATACACTGAAAAAGAAAATAGGTACCGTACGGAACTTAAAAAACCTTCCGAAAAGTGAAACGAAATCGAAACCTTTTAAGAGTTCTGTACAAACGAGGTTTCGTACAGTACTGTTCTTTTTAATTTTCGAAAAATAAATTATTCCGTTATAAATTCATTGCAAAACTTATCTACTTGATAATTTCTTTTTTATTGTTCTTCTTGATTTTGAACTTATTGAATGAACCAATACTTAAGTCGGAATATATTTATCTACTAACGTTATTATCCTTACAATATCGTCTGATTCTACCCATGGATATAGACAATTACGGACCTAATAATATGACTGATCTACATTTCGTCTGTTCTTGCCAAAGATTATTTCCTTTACTTCATCAATGGTTTCCTTCTTTGATCAGGATACATGTATGTTGTAGGCAAACTTGAAATCCAGGCAAATTCCGAATTTGTGTAGGCAAAATTAGAATTCTAAGTTTGACTAGAGTTCCTTTAGACGAATTTAGAATTCTAAAAGATACCGCCGATTTTTGCGAAACTTTGACTAAGAGGAAACTAATCCTATGGCTAACTGTAGTATTACTTGGCACATATCAGCTTTTCTACTATTTTTTAAAATTTCGTTTCACTGAAGAGAAAATCAACTTTTTCTTAATGAAGTCGCAATATGGCATGAATCGGAATAAAAAAATGTATAACTCGACAATTTTACTAGATCTCAAAATTCGGGTTCCACTAAAAGAATTTCCATTTGATTCTGCACAACTTACGAGCCGGCAAATTTCTGATTAAAATGAATATTTCTGTAGTTTTGCGCTGACAATGAACACTTAGGGCTGTTCTTGTAAATCTATAACTTTGCAAAGAAAGGTCATGCAGAGCTAGGACACGTCTCATTTTAATCAGAAGTTTGCAGGCCACAATCACACCTCATTAAGAAAAGGTTTTGGCTATCTTTTAGACTTTTCGAAAAACTGAAAACCGGGTCTTCAAGAGTCATGGGCTCGAATCCTTTTAAGGTATTTACTACCTCACTGAGGTCAATCGACCCATGTACAAAGCATTTTGAATCGGAAGTGAGCACCTCAGGAGGTTCCCTAGTTAGTCCAAACGGATTAAGAATATTTATCATTGTTGTTGAGTAAATATGCGAGACAAGGGTTGGAAATGACAAAAGCGTCATTTTTTGAAAAAACTCAGTCATCTAGTTTTGTTTCAAGGTGAAACTTGCACAAAAACATCATCGTACACTCAGCTACATTCTGCACAAACAGAGTCGAAAACAGGTTTGTCCTTACAGCTTAATGCTTTCTTCGGTTATGATAAGTCATGACTTTTCCATATACACT